GAGCGCTACTTCCTGTTGGTGGTTGACGACTACTCGCGTTACACCTCAGTCTTCCCCTTGCGCAGCAAGGGTGCTGTCACTGAGGTGCTGATCGACTGGATCCGCGAGGCTCGTCTCCAGCTCAGGAGGAGCTTCGGCTCGGACTTTCCTGTTCTGCGTCTGCACTCTGACCGAGGTGGAGAGTTCTCCTCTCGCCTTCTGCGAGACTACTGTCGTGCACAGGGGATCCGCCAGACCTTTACGCTTCCGGACTCTCCACAGCAAAATGGGATTGCTGAGCGCCGCATTGGCATGGTCATGGATGTCGCTCGTACGTCCATGATGCATGCGGCTGCCCCCCATTTTCTGTGGCCGTTTGCGGTTCGGTACGCGGCGCATCAGCTCAACCTTCACCCCAGGGTCTCTCGGCCCGCGATGTCCCCAGTGTTACTGTGGACGGGGAAGGTCGGCGATGCGTCTGCGTTCCGTGTCTGGGGATCTCGGGCGTTTGTCCGCGACTTGTCTGCGGACAAGCTGTCCCCCCGTGCTGCTCCCTGTGTCTTCCTTGGCTTCCCCCCTGACGCTCCAGGGTGGCAGTTCTACCACCCCTCCTCTCGTCGTGTTCTGTCCTCCCAGGACGTCACGTTCGACGAGTCAGTCCCCTTCTATCGCCTCTTCCCCTACCGTACTCCTTCCCTTCCCCCCCCACCGGACTTCCTGGTACCAGTTCCCCCCCCGGTAGACCCCCTCCACCCTCAGGTTCCTGCCCCTTCAGGTGTGTCCCAGGTAGACACGGTCGAGCCAGTCGAGGTTGCTGCTGAGTCTGGTCCTGCTGCGGGTGCTGAGCCTGGGGGTGCTGCTGCTCGGGGTGCTGAGCCTGGGGGTGCTGAGCCTGGGGGTGCGAGGCCGGGGGGTGCTGAGTCTGGGGGTGCTGAGCCGGGGGGTGCTGAGCCGGAGGGTGCTACGTCGGGAGCTGCTGAGCCTGGGGGTGCTGGGCCTGGAGGTGCGGAGCCTGCGCCTGCTGGACCTGGGGGCTCTCCGGTTCTTCCGTCTCGGCGGGAGCCGCTCTCTCCACAGGAGCTGCGCGAGTGGTTTGCTCGCCGCTGGAGGCGTGCTGCTGGAGCTGGAGCTTCTTCGCCTGCTGAGGGTGCTGCCGGTCCCGGAGCTGCTGGGCCTGCGGGTCCTACTGGAGCTGGAGCTACTGAGTCTGGGGGTGCTGAGTCTGGAGCTGCTGAGCCTAGAGGTGCTGAGTCTAGAGCGGCTGTGCCTGGGGGTGCTGAGTCTGGAGCTGCTGAGCCTGGGGTTTCTCCTGCTGCTGCGTCTCGCCGGGAGCCCCTCTCTCCACAGGAGCTGCGTGAGTGGTTTGCTCGCCGCTGGAGGAGTGCTGCTGGAGCTGGAGCTTCGTCGACCGTCGAGGGTGCTGGTGCTGCCGGTCCCGGAGCTGCTGGGCCTGCGGGTCCTACTGGAGCTGGAGCTGCTGAGGGTGTTGGTGCTGAGACTACTGCTGTCTGTCCTGGCGGTGGTTCTGCTGCTGGTGCTGCTGGAGGTCCTGACGCTGGAGGTGTTGGTGGCGCTGGTGCTGTCGCTGAGGGTGCTGGTGCTGTCCCTGCTGAGTCTGGAGCTGCCGCGCGGCCTCGGCCGTACTTCGTTCCGCTCCTACAGCAGGTTCTTGGTCTTTCTCCTTCGGTAGAGTGTCCACAGCCTGTCTAGTCGCAGTCACTGTTGGAGCCTTCCTCTCCTCTGCCTGCTCCCTCTCCTTACACTGGTCCTACTGGAGGTCTTGCTGAGCGTCGTGAGCCTGCGTCTCGTCCCGCGTCGCCTGTTCGTGCTGCTCGCGCTAGTGGTCGCGGTTCGCGTCAGCGTCCTCCTCCTGTCCCTGGCACGCACCGGATGTCTCTGCGTCCGTCCACTGCTCCTCTACGTGCCCCTTTGCCTTCTCCTCCTGAGTCCTCTCTTCCTGCGCTTGCCGACCCTGAGTCGGACTCTCTTCGCGCTGCCAGTCCTACTGTCACGCGTCTGCTTGCTACTGTCGTCACTGACCCCTCTTTTGAGTCCACTGCTGCGTCTGCTCTAGTCGCTGAGCTCGTTGACTTTGCTGCTCGCTGTCGTCTCGACTACGCTGCTGGTCTTGTTGCTGAGTCTGCGTCTGTCTGTCCTCCGTCCGTCGGGGGTGAGTGTGCTCTTGGCACGGACGTCCTAGAGGACAGACAGGAGGAGTTACAGTGTCTAGCGGCTGCTTCACCTCATCTCGCGTCTGTACTGCTTGCCCCTGAGGGAGACCCAGACGCACTAGACATCCCGACTCCGCGTTCTTACGCGGAGGCCGTAGAGGGTCCCTACTCCTCTCAGTGGCAGGCAGCTATGGATGCAGAGATGGCTTCCTGGAAGTCCACAGGCACCTACGTTGACGCGGTTCCCCCTCCTGGGGCGAACATCGTCAGTGGCATGTGGATCTTCAGGGTGAAGCGGCCGCCGGGCTCTCCACCTGTCTTCAAGGCGCGGTACGTTGCTCGTGGCTTCAGTCAGCGGCAGGGAGTTGACTACTTTCAGACCTTCTCTCCCACCCCAAAGATGACCACTCTTCGGGTGCTGCTGCACATAGCCGCTCAGCGCGACTACGAGCTTCACTCTCTCGACTTCAGCACTGCGTTCCTGCAGGGTAGCCTGCACGAGGAGATCTGGCTGCGCCGTCCACCTGGCTTCACTGGGACTTTCCCTCCTGGCACCCAGTGGAGCCTCCGACGGCCAGTCTACGGTCTCCGCCAGGCACCGCGTGAGTGGCACGACACACTGAGGACTACGCTTGCGGCTCTTGGGTTTGCTCCCTCTACTGCTGACCCGTCGCTGTTTCTGCGCACCGACACTTCACTGCCGCCGTTCTACATCCTCGTGTACGTCGACGACTTGGTCTTTGCCACAGCGGACACTACTGGACTCGCCTACGTGAAGTCCGAACTGCTGAAGAGACACACGTGCACAGACCTGGGTGAACTGCGCAGCTACCTTGGCTTGCAGATCACTCGGGACAGAGCACGCCGCACCATTACCTTGACTCGGTCACACATGGTGCAGCAGGTCCTTCAGCGCTTCGGCTTCACGTACTCCTCGCCTCAGGCCACTCCTCTGCCTACTCGCCACTCACTCTCAGCTCTGCCTTTGGATGAGTCCGTAGAGTCGAGTGGTCCGTATGCAGAGCTTGTTGGCTGCCTCATGTACCTGATGACCTGCACACGACCTGACCTTGCATACCCTCTGAGCATTCTTGCACGCTATGTTGCTCCTGGGAGACACAGACCAGAGCACATGGCTGCAGCGAAGAGGGTATTGCGCTACCTGTGCAGTACGTCGGGCATGGGGCTTGTGCTTGGAGGGCGGAGTCCAGTGGTCCTTACCGGCCACGCGGACGCTTCTTGGGCTGACGACCAGGCTACGCAGCGGTCGTCACAGGGTTACATCTTCAGCCTTGGTTCCGGCTCTGTCTCGTGGCGGTCTACTCGCTCGTCTTCGGTTCTCGGCTCCAGTTGTGAGGCTGAGATCTACGCCGGGGCCATGGCTGCACAGGAGCTTCGCTGGCTCACCTACCTGCTGACTGACCTTGGAGAGCCGCCTCGTTCTCCTCCAGTGCTGTACGTAGACAACAAGGCCATGCTGGCCTTGTGTCGAGAGCAGCGCTTGGAGCACAGAACGAAGCACATTGCTCTCCGCTACTTCCTTGCTCGTGAGCTGCAGCAGCGTGGTCAGTTGCGACTTGCGTACGTGGCCTCTGAGGCCAACACTGCTGATGTGTTCACCAAGGCACTCGCGCCTTGTGACCATCAGCGCTTTTGCACCCAGCTGGGTCTTGTGCCTGTCTTGCCTCACTTGCTCTCCTCTTGACTTTACTTGTACTGTGACATATATATATACCTGCTCTTGCTTGTCTAGTTTTATATATATGTCTGTACTCCTGCATGTGAACTGGCCTCTGGCCCTGCTCTTGTGCTCGGACTGTGTGGTGACTTTGTGATCCACCCTGAGCTTGCTTTGCTTTGCTTGACTGGTCTTGTGACCCCTTGTTCTCCCCCACTTTGCCTATGGGGGTGTGTCAAACATTATATATGTTATGCTTGTGTAGGCTACAGTGGGTTAGCCTATAGGGGGTACACAATTCTAGGGTTTACTACTTGTACTCATTTCACTTCTAGTTCATTCATTCCTGTTCGCTTATTCTCACAGGCCTTGCCATGGGGATAACGAAGCTTGAAACGCACCTGAAACAAGGGAAACAAAAACCACAGTAAGCGAAACGTTAAACACAAAGACAAATTCCACAGTAAGCGAAACGTTTGACTTACCGCTGCAAGGATAACCAGCAGGTGATCAGGAAACAACGCAATGGGAAGGGCGCCATCGAATTCCGGGTCCCAAAGGGACGCACACTTAAACAAACGCTGGGCTAGAAAAGGGTGATCCCTCCCACAAATGCCAATAAATTCCCATCATCACTGCCATAAGAGAAAGCATCAGCTAAAAGCAAGGCTCAACGGAGTACTGGAAAAACTGGATTTCAGAATCAAAGAGAAACTTACTGTCGGATTGGTTCTTCACGAAGTCCGCGCACACCTTCGCGAAGTCATCAATCTCGGAGAAAGTTAGCTCGCCCTTCAGGGTTCGCTTCTCCCTCATGAAGACACACGGATCTCGGCTCAAGGCGTAAACGCGGCAGAGGCGGTAGATCTTCCCGATGCGATCGTTAAAACGTTCCATAGCATCCTTCAGCTTGCCCTGCGACTTGGCAATCGCTGCCACCTGCATCCCTTCGGCCGATTCGGGGGTGTAGCCGGCATGCCCTGCACACGACGTAAACTGTGATGATTAGTACACTAATCGTCATGAAGGGAAAATTGACAACGCTTAACAAGCTTACTGATCAATGCATTTAGCATGTCAGCAGAATCAGGATTGAGGTTGAGAAACGCTTTCTTGAACAGGAATCCATCACAGGCGTCCTTCGTGTACTTCTGCAAGACGATGACAGAGAGTCAGGACGAATGAAACTGGGTTACGATGGTCAATGAAATGCAAACCCGTACCTTCCAGTCGAGAGTCGACTGGTCCACTTGCGTAGTCTTCTTAGCAAGGTGCGTTATAAGCACCAGCGCGCTTTTCAGGTCATCGGCGAGGCGACCATTCTCTTTCTGATAAACTCCGGCGATCGCCTTATGAGCTTCTGCCTTAGTTCGAAGCTCCTCATTCACATCAGGTTCGGCGCGCGCTTCCTCGTCGAAGCGAGCGGCATCAGTTGCATACGCACGCCCCGTCGCCCGGGTCATAAGCAACTCCATTGGGCTGCGGTTGGGGTTTCCTGTTGTGGGGGGAAATTTTATAAAGCGGAACGTTTGATATGAATTCAACAGGTTGAAAGCAGGTTGTTGCCGGCAACTTTTGAGACACCACTTCGAGAAAGGTATAGCAGACATACCTTCAACAGCAGCAGGTGTCCCGGCGGGAACAACAGCATCGGGAGCCACATCAACAGGAGGGGAACCACCGTCAGGAATAGCAGAACGGGAAGGTCCGGCAGCAGCTGCGGCAGGGGAAGATCCGGCAGCAGCGGCAGCAGGGGAAGACCCGGCTGCAGCGACAGCAGGGGAAGATCCACCAGCAGCGGCAGCAGCAGGGAAGGGACCACTTGCAGCAGCATCGAGGGGACCACCGCCAGCCACGGACTTCACTCCAGCTGCCGGTGCAGGGACGGTTTTCCCAGCGACGTCAGCTTTGTTGACGTCATCGAGGCTGCGCCTTGGATGTTTGGTCCGTTGGCCGGTGCGAGGGCGGCCCTGCGCTTGCTCGTCGGACGATTCATCGTGGCTTTCATCTGCGAGAAACAATGAACGGTGGTTAGTCGTGTTCGACTTCATTGGTGCAAGCAAAAAAAAAAAAAAAGCAACGCAATACAAACCAGCGTGCAAATACCTGCGGTAGCAGCGGCACCAATGTACTTGTGATTGTCCTTGCTATTCCGTGCCGGGGGCTTTCTAGTCTGCAGGCCGCGCAAAGATTCAGGGACAAGGTCTCGAGCATCACCGCGTGCCATGACTAAACGGGTTATTAAACAAACTAACCAAGTTCCAGCGAATAGCCAGCAAGATGCACACACAGCTATTTATATGAAGTCGTCCATGTGACAAAAAAGCGGGTTAAATCGTAGGCGAATGGACTACTAAACGAGGGTTCGCGAAACACACCATGATTGGCTGTCACCGGATCATTACCAGACGTGGGACCAAAGTCGCCTCGCATGGAGGCTCGGCACGGGTCGCGGGATGAGCGAATGAGAATGAAGTCGGGCCTCGAGCAAGGTTAAAACAAAGTTTGAAATTTCCAACTTTGAATTCCTAAACTGAGACACGCGGACAGAGCAGTTGCCTCTTTCCCCTGCCAACGAGGAAGGGAAACGGGGGAGAGAAGGGGATGGGGTGGGGTTTCAGAGAATGTGAGTTGCTGCTCGTGGGATGAAGTGGGTAGTGCCTTCAGGTGCGCTGGCGTTCGCGTTCATGAACAGCAACAAATCTGGTTTAGGGTGGCGGTCCTTATGCACCAGCACACACGTTTGTCCTTTCTCCGCGCGTGATATCACCACCACATGCCAGAGTTGGGCAACGTGAATAGCTTTTCCTGGGTGGCACGCAATGTGATGGCACGCATTACAGTAGGCTTTTTTTTTGGCTGAATATTGTAACGCTGGAACCTACAGAACACGTTTGTGGCTGGCGAGACGATGTCATGTGCGGCGAAACAGCCCCACAATTTCCCTTTGTACATATTTTGCCACCCAAGTATCATGTAGGTGTGCAACTGGTCAGCGAAGTCGACAACTACGTCAATATTTTGGGCAGCAAATATTCACCTGGTCACTAATCGGTTTAAAACGCTAGCACCATCGCCCCATCTCGTTACCAATGTACTTACAAAAAGGGCAAAAGTAAATGCGTGGTTTTTTCGGGATGGGGTGGGGGAGGGGATGGGGTGGGTAGGGGGGGTGGGGGGTGGGGGTTGTTCACTTACAGCTCAGGAAAACAAATTCGGCGCAGGACTAGTAAACGTCACGCGAGCATGTACAGCCTATTCTGACTTTGCATTTTTGGAGGAAACATCCGCCCAACGCGAGTCAACGTGTTGCGAAAATCGACAAACGACACCATGGGCGAGTGGCCCATTCGAAAGCGTGAAATCAATGCGCACGCAAGGGACGAATCACGGAGAGGCAGCACGCTGTCAAGTGTGCTCGATAACTTGCGTGCGGCGAAATTAGAAGTCGTTACGATTAAGCCCGGGAAATTCTGATTTCACAGTGGTCGTAATGGGTGGTCACAGCAAATTTGACGTGGTTCTTTCTCGCTGTTGACACAGGAGTGTGACGTGAACACACAATGTTCAGTATAATATTATAACATTACACACTCTAACGCGTTATATGTACCAGATCGGATGAAATCCAAGACATTTTAAACCAGTGAATCTGAGACGCTATGTTAAGGTTTTATGTTTAATTTGAGCAATTTACTATCCAACAGAAACTTTTCGAAACATTTGCTTTGTCATAAAATGTCAAAACATTATATACACACATATAAATATTTACAATATCAACATCTAATATTTACAATATCATATTCTACCATCTAAAGTGGTTTAGCACAAACGTTGCCATCGGATGTGAAGGATCAACAGTTTTGGGGATGACGTGACGCACACGCAAGATGCTCTCAACTGGCAACACCCCATACCCGCGGCGAGATGGCCACCAGTTCAAGGTCTTCATGTCCATCGTCTCTGACTGTGGGAGCGATCCGTAATAGCGACAAAATGCAAGCTCCTCCGAACACTGCTCCTCCCTATCTTCCTCGTCACCGGCGCCAGCAATACACACCGTCCATCTCAGTGTAAATATAAGGAAAAGCTTCGCATGCCACACCACCTTCTTTTTCTCGTCATCCTCTCCCTCAATATCCACATCCGAAAACCAAGGGCCACCATGGAATGCCGGAGACGCTCGTGCATACTGTGGGTACCTGCTGTAGCTTGTAAAATCGTCGTCGGGTGGTACCGCAACACCTGTGTGCACCTCTACCATCCGAGCATAGTGAACCGCGTTGGCGCCATGCTCTTCCGTGAGGTATGACACAATACTGTCCTCCAGAAGGTCAAAGTCTCCTGGGACGCTCCGCGAGTATGCCCTGAAGGTCTTGTCACGCTCGTCACCCAAGACAAACCTTGCACTCGTCCCAGTGACAGTAGCAACTCCCGTCTCTATGGCCTGCAGTAGTTTTAAGAATGTAGGTTGACACATCAGGCAAAAAACAATACAGAACATAAGGAGAAAGCGGGAAACGCAATTAAGAAAAACATGCAACAAGAGGGACTGCAACACTTGTAGGCATAGTATTGAGTAGGAGATAGGATGATAGCTAATACATCTAAATCTTGCAGTGTTCAATAACAACACACCTGCTGAAGGGCGGCTGATCGTGCGTGCGCATCGGGAACATCATCGGCCGCAGTCATCCACTCAACCAGCTCTGATGTCAGGCAACGCCGTGTGATAGTTGCTTCAGCGTTCCTCTTGTTAGAAGCTCTGTACGGTCTCTTCATCAAGGCCACGTGCACGTGCTCGTAGACATCGGTGCAGTAGTGAATCGGGACGCCACGACGCCTGATGTCGTCACTAACGTGAAGCATCGCGTGAATCTTGGGGACATTGAAGTTCGATGCTTGATCATCCACCGTGAACTCATTCATCAGCATCGGAACAAGCCTGCACGTAATGCAATGGCACGGTACATAGCGATGCAGAAGTTCGATAAGGAATGTTACAACGGACAAACGACACAATTATATTATGGCATGCACATGGATGCGAGCAATCGTGTATCGTACTCACGTGCTCGCCATGTTGTCAAGGTTCGCCAAGGAGGCGTCGGTGTGGTACGTGCGATGCCATGCCTCCCTGTGCCACGTGCAGAAGTGCTCCACAGATGCCACAATCCGTGCGTCAACCTTCGCCATCACCAGGAGCACTGGCAGCACCTGCATCACCGCTTGATGGTGGAAGGCCTTGAAGGTGTTGTGTCCGCTGAAATAGCCAGCTGTGTGTGCAGGAATCCGAAAGAAAGACTGCCTGCTGTACTTGGTGATCCGCTCGAGAGAAGCATCGAGCTCCCGCAGGGTGGAGTCATTCAGCTTCGACTTGAGACCCTCCAGGATGTGCTTGTATACGCCGAGAGACATGTGCATGATGTCGGACGTGAGTTGTCGGTACGGGTTGCCGAAATCCTCGTCGCCAAAGCGTTGTCCCCATATAGCACTCTGCGATGCGCACGCACGCACGCACCCACACACTCACACACACCCATACACATCCACACACACACATCTACCCATCCACACATTTACACACACCCACCCACACACCCACACACCCACACACCTACTCATACACACACCCACACATCCACACACACACACACCTACACACACCCACACATCCACACACACACATCCACGCATCCAGACACCCACACACCCCCACACACGCATCCACACACCCACCCACACACCCACACACCCACCCACCCACACGCATCCACACACCCACCCACACACCCACACACACACACACACTCACACACTCACAGACACACATCCTCGCACCCACACACCCACCCACACACACACACACCCATACACCCACACACCTATCCATACGCACACCCACACACCCACCCACCCACAGACACACACCCACACACCCACACACACACACACTCACACACTCACAGACACACATCCTCGCACCCACACACCCACCCACACACACACACACCCATACACCCACACACCTACCCATACGCACACCCACCCACCCACCCACCCACAGACACACACCCACACACCCACACACACCCACACACCCACACATCCACACACCCACACACATACCCACACATACCCACACACACCCACACACACCCACACATACCCGCGCACACCAACACACACATCCACACACACATCCACACACACATCCATACACACATCCACACACTCGCATCCATACTAAACCCCACACACCCACACACACCCACACACACACACATACACACACACGCACGCACACACACACGCGCGCGCACACTAACACACACAGACATACATACACACAAACGCAAAAACAGACACAGAAGCACACACATCAGTTTGGGCATCTAGCAAAACCCTAGGTCAACATGTTATGATTATTAGTGCACGACTACGCGACAAACAACAAGTGTAAAGTACCTTAACGAAGTGTGTACTGTAACGCTTTGTCAAGTCGTTGCGTGCTGTAACCCTCGTCTCGCGTTCCATCTCCATGACTCGCTCCTTTTGTAGCGCTTCCGTTCGATACACCAGCGGGAACGCCATGTTGTTCAGCTCTTCCTTTGGAACGGTGCACCTGGGGCATGGAAAACGGGTCTTGATGCCGGACTTGGTGCCCGCCACTTTGCACTGCTCCGGATAGTCGCCAATGTAAGCGTACGTGAGCGGAAAGACCATACGACGAATGCCGTATGGATCTGTCAGCTCCACGCCACTGCATGCAAGACAATAGAGAATCGATAAACACATTTGCACAGTATACAACAGTTCACAAACGTAGACAAAACAACCAAAAGCAGAGAGAGGGAGGGGAGGGGGGGGGCTTGGGGGGTAGGATCTTACGTGTTCTGGGCAATATTCAAATCCGCCATGATAAGATCCAAGGCCTCCTGGAATACTTCAAGGTGCCGCCGCTCCTTGTCCGCGTGCGTGAAGAAGCTCCCGTCATCATCGGGTAGGAGAGAGCATAATCGATGCCCATGGGGTTTCCATCGATTCC